AAATGTGCAATTAAAGTTGTCTGCTTATAGTCAACTCTTTAATATTTTTCTGATTATTTTTTTCCAGTGCTTCGCACCCTGAACTCTTTTTCACTCCCCCTTGTCTCATCCATTACACGGCTATTTAGAACAAAAAATTGCGCGTTTCACACGACCCGATTCTACTGCAAACAACACACTCATCACAAACTACCGCTTATGGGCCTTTCGACACAAATTACCATTTCTGAAGGGATACGGAAATTTCAATTTTAGATACAGGGTGTGCAAACTCATGAAATCATGAGGAAATATTGTGCGAGGCATTTTTTATGAGTTCATATATTTATTCATGAATAATTACACATAACCGGTAAAACATCTTATTACAACTATTCATTTTCAACATCGTACCATAACCCCTTCAATACACAACCCATAGCCCAAATAATTTAATAATATCATTAGAATTCAGCTTCTACACGGAGAGAAATATTTAGTAAAAATTACGGAACTTTCAGTTCACTTACCGATTACGGACTTGATTCGACAAATTTAAGTGACAGTATTGTTATTTTTCACTGACGATTCCGATAAAAATTACGGAACACCGCGGAAAAATTCTGTGACTTTAGATTAAAATTACGTGACAGTTCCGTAAAATTTCCGACAACCACATTTCGCTCCAGAATTACGGAAAATACACGTAATTTTTATTGAATATTTCTCTCAGTGTATTGATTTTTATTATTTCTGCAAAATTCTCAATTTCCGTGAATTTGATTTTTACTCCGGATTTTTATCATTGTTATGTTCATTTTTCGAACGTTTTTCTCTTGATTTTGCATTTTTGTAATACAATACTTTACTCCTTTGTGCACATCGCCTTTGGCGAGTTTCATGTGATAACATTTCTTCCACTCTTGGACATTGATTTATTAATTTTATCCGATCTTCTGTGTCAAGCCGAGACCATGCTGAGAAACCGCTATTTTTTGCTTCCTTCAAAAGCAATTCTAGCAAATTCAATTGCAATACCCCGCGATTCACAAGGTCTAGCAAAATTTTATTGCACTGTTTGTCATCATCTATCTCATCGCCACCGATTCCATACTGATCTAAAGCGAAATCAGAATCAGACTCTTGTATACCGTATTGGGCGGGTGGAACTGTCACCTGCTGGAGTATGACAGAAATATCATAGGCCGGTGTGGGCAGCGTGGCGCCCCTTCTTCTATATGCTTTTGAAACGCCCATCTTACTTTGATTATTGGATTGTTTTTGGTTGGAATCATCATCCTCAACAGTCGAACTTACGTCGTTTTTAGGATTGCTTGATTGATCAAAGCGCGGAGTGGTTGGATTATTTTCTGAACCTGGCTCATAATTTCCACCAGTGACTCCAGGATCGCCGTCGCCCAATATTGGAGGCAAGATATCACCACGGGTGGGGAAAGATTGATTTGAAGACTCGGCTGAACTCTCATTTTCCCAGTCATATTCATCAACTTGATCGAGATCATCAAATTGGTCCATATCGACCTCTTCACTTGATGGAGCTTGTATATTCTTCGAACTGTACCCATCCGATTCATCATCTTTTATAATTAATGGATGGGTTTTCTTCCCCGCGTCCGCGCATAACGTTGCATAGATGCATTCGGAATTTATATTCAATGCAGAAGGGTATACACATTTCCATTTCCATCCAGGTTGTAATATCTAAAATTATAATATTGATGTATTAGATAACATGATCTTATACGCAATTAAATCTCTAAGGTTCACTACCACTATGCAAGGCTGATTAGAAGACGCGTTTTGGGCAAGGCTTGAGTTGGAGCAATTGAGCAAGCTACAAACTGCATTTGGAAGACACAGTTGAACAATTTCGGCATTCCCATCTTCTGTACGTGTTTTCGCTGTAACGAAAATTCGTTCGGTTGAAAGCTTAAATTTCAATTGTGAAATCTATTGACATGCGGTAACTAATTTATGGGTTTTATTGAATTCCATTCAGCAGTCATGTTGAAGTGTTTCCTTTGAAAAAGTTACCATGTATATCTATTCGCACGGACATGTTCCGAAAATTGCATTTTTCGACTTTTTGAGGCATAATGGATCGGGATATCAAAAAATACAAAGCTTAAATTTCAACGATGCCAGTGTTTTAATTCGAACGAAAATTTATATTCATACGATTGTCAAGAGTAAACACTCACCATTAGCGCAGTTGTAGCACATTAGTAAAACTACAAAACCAATCCGTAGCATGATAAATTCGTTTTGACTTCCTTGGTTTAAATAATCTCTTAATGTTTGGATTTTCTCTTATAAGGCGACCGATGCATCAAAATAATAATTGAACGTGACATTGGTTAGTACATGTGATATGATAAGAAATCGACGTGGATTCTTGTTCGAAAATATCACACCAAATTAGCAAACAAGTTTTATTACAAGTCATCAAACAGATCAGTTGCACATACATTGATAAGTTTCAATGTTATTCCCCATATCGAAGTAGAAATCATAACTAGTCTGTTTGAAAAAGTTCATGAAGAAACCGAGTTTCATTACCGCATCTGAGTACGGGAAAAACTCCGAGGTCTAACTCTGAGTGAAGCATCAACCATCAGCTTAAATTCGATCAGTTCAAATAATTGGAAGGATATTATCCTTCCCAAAGTTTAGCTCAATGGATGATTTTTTTATCATGGACTTTAATCTCTTCGCTTATTCCAGCATTTTGAATGCGGTATCTAGGCAATTATGATATTATTTATGTTGAGAGAAAATTAAATCACGTACCGTTTAATCTCACAGCCACAGTCGCTTCATTGAATGTCACGTTTCCACGATGAAATTAAATCTTTGTGATTATATAAATTGAAAAAAACAGGAGTCTTTTTATCGAAAACCAACATGTTGTTCGAAATTTTAATTTGACAAGCATTTAAATTTTTTAATCGAACGTGGCGGATCTCCTGGGGATAATCGATTATCTGACACTCGATCTCGATGAATCGAATGGATAACTGACAATCACATCAGCTGATTAGCACAGGGTACGGGGCTACAGTAAAATATTACCAAAGCTTCATCCATGTCTGTCACGGACAAACGAAAAGTTCCTATCCTTTATCCTTTATATACAAATCAAAGAGATTGCGATAATCTCGAAATTCGATATCGACTCATATCGACTCAAATCGACTTATGAACGCCAATCGGCTAAATCGACTCAAATCGAAAGAGAATATTTGACATTATCAAAATGCAAATCTCAAGGTGCTGCAGGGCGCATTTGAAAGAGTGAGCCCTCCTATGATTTTCGATCGAGTTTCGATATGCCTCAGTATTTCTATACAATATTTCCCTAATTTTTAGTTCAGTTAGATATTTATCTTGGTCGGCGAGTCACCAATAATTTCTTTTGGGATTGATCATATAATAATCATTCCAATCTATTATTGAAATACTCTATGTTCTCTCTCTAAGTTCTCCATGAGACAAATTGGGATATTTTTATTATTTTGACGGCTAGTAATATGGTAAAGACTCGTCTGATAAATTAGTCTAGAAAAGGGCTTATTTTATCATATTGGATAAAATATTGTGGTTTGATATCGCCGCTTCTAGTCCTAATTATTGCTTCATCCTGTGGAAACTCAGCGAAGGATTTGATTACAGGGTTGTCCAACGGTTTCAAATTAGCACAGTAATTCCTAGCACGTTTTAATATGAAATTGTCAATCCTAGGGATTTTAGCCTGTTCATATAATGTGTTATTTTTAATCATATACCTGTAATCACTATGACTTAATCTGTACAAAAAGAGATATTTCCTGAGACAATTCGCTTCAAAGACACGGAGTTTTTCCATTTGGTGGGCGCCCATGTATAAAGTATTTCTAAGGCATTTGTGAGCAGGAGTCTGATTGACATGTCAGGCTGAATCTTTGGGTGTTCTGATTAGTGTGTTAAATAATGTAATTGTACCCCCAAATATTTAATGCTGTACGGTATGTTAGTTTGTAGACTCGTACTCGGACTTTTCATTTTAATTGAATATTCCTTGATTGCTATTCTTTTATTTTGATAAAAAGTGGCTTATGGGGGTTCGGAAGAGGTTTGATTCACTCTTTGCAGGATTGACTTTGAGGTTCCAACCTGGAACCTTTCCACTGTGGGGCGGCCTTGATCACTGCGCCAGGCTACCGGATTCTGTCAACTCG